TTTACTGAGAGGAAAAAGGTGTGGCATTACCTTCTGAATGCAATATAAATAATGAAAAGTACTGTACACGTTCTGAGAAAACTAAAACATGATAAGATGAAGGTTAAATAAACTTACTGATTAAAAATGTGTCATTTTCATAGAGAAAAACTCGTAAAGAAAACTTCACCAAAATAAAAAAATGTATAAATAATCCTCACACAATGTGAAATTACATGCAAACAAAATATACAAAGAGAACAGCCAAACTTAAAAATATAAAATCATCATACACAAAGACAACAGCAAAATACCACCCCCCCCCCCCCCCCCCCCCCAACACACACACACACACAAAACCTATCACACAAGCTAAGAAGATAATATGTATAAAAATAATAAGAGCAAGCTAATGAATTATAAATCCCTGCCACAGCGAGACAACAAGCAAGCAAGCATGCACGTTCGCACAAAAAATAAATTTAAAAAAAAACCATGAAAAGTTATCAACAGACAGATAACAGTACAAATAAAACAAACATATATCTGTAGATGATAATCAAGCATATGAAGCTAGACATAGTGTATAGACCAATTATCACTCAGGGTGGGTGACATGGTCAGCATCACGCTGGTCCCCTTTACTTTCCTGGTTAATACCTGATATGCATTCTAGTCTGAGCTGACTTGAGAGTCAGGTCATTAAAAAAATAAATATGACTCTACATAGATTTGAACTTGACCCCCCCATGGCTGGCAGTTAAGAACCTTGCCACTAGTCAGGGTGACTCCCACTTTTAACTCATACTGCTAGGTAGCTGTACTGCTTTTAACTCATGCACGCCCAGTGATTCGTAAAGTGTAACAGCTCTGAGGACAGAAGAACTAGGATAAGAGCGGTTTTGTATTTAAACAACTTTTGGTGTGTATATAAATAATTTTAAATATATACAATCCTAATATATGTACAAACTTCTTTAACTCTTTCAGTCCCAAAATTTCATAGCTGAAACCAGACTGAAGCAGTAATGATAAAGTGTAGGTATACTATATCCATCAGCATCATCATGTAGCAGGTCCTTAGTAGAATGTTGCTCCCCTCAACGCCTGCCTGAAGGAAACTTTCTCTTGCCAGCTCTCCCGCTTCGTGTACTTCATTCATATTCAAGGAGTCGCTTGTATCCTGCACCCATCTTCATATTGGTTGGTCCCTGCCCCTCCTTCTTGCTACCCCGCCTTCAGCTATTATTTTTTGCCATTCCGCTGTGCCGCTTCATATGACCAAAATATTTCAGGTTGAAAACAATAAACTGTTTATTAGCCAATATTCCTTGATGTTTAGATCTTTCAAGATGTCAGTATTTCTCCTCTTCTTTGTCCACAGTATTCTGAGAATCTTTTTATAGCATTTCAGCTCAAAAGCCCCTATTCTATTTCTTAAGGCCTGGGAGATAGTCCAAGACTCACATCCACACGTTGTGACAGGGAAGATGGATGCTCTGAACATTTAACTTTGAATACTACATCCATAGGGTCTAAAAACACAGAACAATGTGGGCGACTGGTGTTGCTAGATTGATTTAGTTTGCCTAACTTAATTAAAGATGAACAAATGATAGAAAACATGTTGACTGGCTCACATGAGTAATATCCAGTACATATGGTGCGTTGTTTGGATCTGAATGAGTCAGTGTTTGTAGAAACAATTGTAATTATGTACAGTCTTAATATACATAAAACAATCTCAATGAAACTAACTTCACTGAGGATACAATAAATAAGTCAAATACTGTAACAAATTGGATTCAGAGCTGCCTCAACACCTGTCTAGGTTCACCAGGACCATGTTACATACTTCTTCTTCCGCCTTTCTAGCCCCCAATAAAGGAGGCCCTCAACCAACTCAGGCTAAGTCGTTCTATCCTTCGCTATCACATGCAGCTCTCTCCATGTCCTCCCTATCTATTTTTACTTTACTCTCTTGCTCCCTTTTCCACGTTTTTTTTGGTCTTCCTTTATTTCTATGCCCCTGTGGGTTCCAGTGCAAAGTCATTCTAGTTATATTATTCTCAGGTTTTCTCAGGGTGTGTCCTATCCTAAGCCAGCATCTTTTCTTCACCTCATGGTCCACTGGAACTAGTTCTCTCCCAAAGCTCCACATTAGTGATTCTATCATACCATTTAATGCTTTCTATTCTATGCAGACACCAGTTAATGAATGTTTGTCACACACTGGTGAAGATTTACTGCCACCTCTAAGTTGTCATCTTAGAAGTAAAGTCCCCACTGGGGCTAGCCAGCATGGATAGAAGTGACGTTTGCTTGAAAAAAGTTGGAGTGTATCTGTAGGACAGACAATCAGTTACTGTCAGTTCCAGCTTCATAGCAAATGGGTCATCCCATAGCTGCCACGCTTCTGATGCATCACTGGTCCTTGTGGAAACAAGGACACAGTCTCTGCTAGTCAACAATATACACACAGATTAAATGTATAAGGCAGCCATCAGAAGTGCCAATTCACAATCTGCCACAAGAATTACAGTTCGACGTCTATGGAAACAGTTGTTACAACAGATCAGTAGTTGCACAAGCAGTTAATTGCATAAGGCACCACAAATTCTCTGACAACAGGCCCTTGCCATTTTTTTAATCTGTGGTTTTACAACACAAATCACATTGGACACAGCCAAAAAGCCTTCCTAAATAAACTTAGCAACTCAGTGTCACAACATGCACTTAGTTCAGTGGCCGGGCGACACCATGTCATCATATATCATCATCATCAAGTACCCTGCAGACTGGTGTGGATGGTTATACAACCACATAATCGCAATCTTCAACAATATGTATCAATTCCTGTGCTGACACCCCTCCATGACAAAATACTGTCAAGAAGATCATTCCAGTGGTCACAACATGTTCCAGGTTTATTTTTCTCAAAACATGACTAAAAACATTATTATGCCTGCCTTTTTCTGATGTTTGCGGTCAGTTGTCTTTGAGCCCTCGCCTCTCTGAAAACATCTGGGTTGTCTTTTTGGCTGTTCAAGGAATTCTAAGGATTCATTCTGTAAAACCACATGATACATACAAGATTCTAATACTTCCCACCTCCATGGCCGTGAATGTTTTCTGATCACATTTTTTTTTTTAAACGATCAAACGCAATTCACATTTAATCTACAATTACCCTGTCAAAACTAAACTCCCTTTCCTTGTCAAAATTAGACAACTTAATTATGTTGTCAAAACTAAACTTAACTACCATGCCAAAACTAAACTAAACATTACCTTGTCAAAACTAAACTCAACCAGCTTGTCAAAACTAAACTAAACAACCTTGTCAAAACTAAACTCCATTATCCTCTGACAAAAATTAAACTTAGTTACCTTGTCAAAACTAAACTCAACAACCTTGTCAAAACTCAACAACCTTGTCAAAACTAAACTCCATTATTCTCTGACAAAAATTAAACTCAGGTACCTTGTCAAAACTAAACTCAACAACCTTGTCAAAACTCAACCTTGTCAAAACTAAACTCCATTATTCTCTGACAAAAATTAAACTCAGGTACCTTGTCAAAACTAAACTCAACCAGCTTGTCAAAACTAAACTAAACATTACCTTGTCAAAACTAAACTCAACCAGCTTATCAAAACTAAACTTTATTACTTAACTCCTATACCAGGTATGGTCAGGTATAAATGCAGCTGCAACCTAAAAACCAAATACTCCCTCTTGAAGTTTGCTACAACACCAATGTCCGATACTTCCCAAACAAGAAAGTAATAAATAACATTTATGAACAAAGAGAAATAAAGTAAATCAAATGTTGCATAAATAATTCATTAAAACAACAAAAAACACACTCATGCAAATTACTCCAACTGTTGATGTTTATAATCTAGTGGATTCTGTTACTGCCGCAGGAACATGATCCATACATGGATCCGGAACCAAATCCTTGATGTAGGCGACACTAGACTCGACCCATTTCTCCGTGGATGACATATCCATGGATGGTATTTGAGACATCGAGAGTAGTCTCTTACAGTGAGGCTGAATCTCTTGACATTTCTGTGAAGTTTGAGGAAGTTCAGGCATGCTGGCGCTTCCATGGATCATCTGTGACTGACAGCTCTGAGGTACCTGAAAGACAGTCTTGGTGTTTGCTTGAGCAGGACTGACGCAACCTGTGATCTGATTAGCTGAGTTCAAACCTGACTGAGGATCACATGGGTGGGACAACTGCTCTGTCTGAGGTGAAATACCACCAGATGATCTTGTGGATATGTTTGGTCCTCGTCGTGGCTGATTCAGTGATTCAGACAGTGAAGGGAAATCACCCTCATCAAGCCTAAGTCCAGATAATGACTGAGGACTCAGAGTAGCAGGACTTTGAGCTGGTCCAAAAGAAGCTGAAGACCTTGCTGCTTGTGTACTATGAGATTTGACAGGTGATGAAGTAGGTACAACACAGCCAGCAGGTACAACTGGCCTCAACTGATCAAGTGGCAGCCTCCAAACTGACCTGTTGCCAGCAAGTGTCCAATAAACTGGTGGGGTTGCAGAGAAGTCAGAACTTGTTGAAGGTAAAATCTGATGTCCAGTCACAGAACACAGAGGGGTACACAATGACAGGCTTTCCTCTTCTACTGCTGGATCTACTTCTTTTGAAGTTTCTCCAAGTCTGGGTTTAGACAAAAAGTCAGCATATTCCAATGACATATCTCTGTGAGGTATAGAACAGTCAACAATTTCCTTTGTTCCGTCACTGTGAGGTATGGAACAGTCAACAATTTCCTTTGTTCCGTCACTGTGAGGTATGGAACAGTCAACAATTTCCTTTGTTCCGTCACTGTGAGGTATGGAACAGTCAACAATTTCCTTTGATCCGTCACTGTGAGGAGTGGAACAGTCAACAATTTCCTTTGTTCCGTCTCTGTGCTTTGTTCCGTCTCTGTGAGGTATGGAACAGTCAACAATTTCCTTTGTTCCGTCACTGTGAGGAGTGGAACAGTCAAAATTGTCCACTGATCCACTCCTGTGAGACATGGAATAGTCCAAGATTTTCTATTGAACCAACACTGCTAGGAATGGAACAATAAATTTTCTCCATTGATCCATCACTGTGAGGTAAGGAACAGTCAACATTTTCCACTGATACATCACTGTGAGATATGGAACAGTCAACATTTTCCACTGATACATCACTGTGAGGTAAGGAACAGTCAACATTTTCCACTGATACATCACTGTGAGATATGGAACAGTCAACATTTTCCACTGATACATCACTGTGAGGTAAGGAACAGTCAACATTTTCCACTGATACATCACTGTGAGATATGGAACAGTCAACATTTTCCACTGATACATCACTGTGAGATATGGAACAGTCAACATTTTCCACTGATACATCACTGTGAGATATGGAACAGTCAACATTTTCCACTGATACATCACTGTGAGATATGGAACAGTCAACATTTTCCATTGATCTATCACTAGGTGGAAGAGAACAGGCAACATCTGATGACAACTTTATTCCTGAAATCTGACCCTGATTAGATGGCACACAATAAGTCTTTAGCTTGTCCTGTCTATGCTCAGATTCTGATGCATCTGCAGACAAAACCTTCTCACATTTGGCAACGAAATGCCTGATATTCTCCGAATCATCATAAACCGATGACTGACTCTCAACAGAACCGGCATCACCTTCCACAGTGGAGTCACTGTTGAGACTGAGGATCTGCAACTCCTCACAACCGCCAACAGCTCCCGCAACCTCCCAGCCTTCTGGTTGCTCCTCCTGCTCATCTGAGCAATCATGGAGGATTTCTGCATAAACCTGGTCACCTGGGTTTGTGTCCACAGTTCCTTCAAAGCTTTCTGTCTTGCTGACCTGTCGGGACATTTCACAAATAAGACTTTCCGTGGCCGAGATGCCAGCATCACTAGCAACCTCGCTGGCTTGTTGCTCTTGCTCCAAAAGAATCTTCAGGAAAAAAAATAAGTGTTTGTTTTTAAAACAATATTACTTTACAGTAAAACTCGAGCAGTCCTGCAGCAAATGTTGTAAAATATTATTTATCATTAAAACTAATATGGTCCTATAGTAAATGTTACACAGTATTATTTAACAATAAACATTAGGTAGACCTATTGCAAATGTTACACAAAATTATTTATCAGTAAAACTTAGCTAGTCCTATAGCAAACCCCAGTCCTCTGATGCAAAACCCCTCAGAATCAAAGTGTTAACACTAATTTTTCTTTACTTTTGCTGGAATAACTTCAATTTATTGATATGTGTGTTCACATTGACTTTAGAAAATGCATTTATGTTTGACTGCAAGAACCATTATTGTTATATTTTTTAATAGCACAATTTTTAATCTTCAAAATGATATAAAATGTGTTGTAAATTAATTAAACTGAAGTTTAATTTGTTCATAAATCTATTCAATTAAAAAAAAAAGGGAAAACAGGCCGTCCTAACAGACTTTCACAAAAACGGGAATTTCCGTCGACCTGGCTGGCTATTTTTCAGTAAAACCTAACTGGTGTTATAGCAAACATTACACAATTTTATTTAACTGTAAAATTAAGGCAGTCCTACAGCAAATGTTACACAATATTATTTAACAGTAAAACTTAGGCAGTCTTACAGCAAATGTTACACAATATTATTTAACAGTAAAACTTAGGCAGTCTTACAGCAAATGTTACACAATATTATTTAACAGTAAAACTTAAGTAGTCCTGCAGCAAATGTTACACAATATTATTTAACAGTAAAACTTAGCTAGTTAAACCCAAGGAGACCGTGCCAACAACCTGCTAATTTACTTGTTTTGAACATGCTCTAATTGTATTTTATCATAAAGATAAAATGCATTTAGTGTTTTATCAATAGACTAATAACATGACCTGAGAACAATATAACTAGAATGTCTTTGCAATAAAACCCTTAGGGGCACAGAAATAAAGGCACATCAAGAGCAACAAAAACACACAGAGAAGACAGCTAGAGAATGAAGTTAACAAGATTGGTAGGACATTTAGGCTGTGTGCAACAGCAGAGAGTTGGTTGAGGGCCTATGCTCCAGTGTCGAATATGGGCAGAAGAAAAATACCAAAGTGATGGTAATGTTCACAAACTGAGTCAAGTTTTCTTTCTTTTTGATTTTCTTTTTCTGAGCTTGCTCTTAAAAAGATGGTTGGCATGTCGCGGTTTACAGCAAGACAGCAACATCTGTGCCTTTCAGCTCAACACATCCAATTTCAGCAAACCTTTAATAACTCGCCTTCCTTTCATGACATGCTTGTTAAGGGGCAGTGTGATCTATTCTTTTTCCCTCTAAAAAAAATGGTTTTCCTGAACTCGCATGGGAAGTTTTTAATTGCTTAACAAAGTTTCACAAAAATTAGTAACTATTTGAAATTACAAACCTTTTTAAGTGTGAGACTTTCAATAGCCTCAGCGACTTCAGACATGGAGTTTGGTGCCTTTAGACCCAGTTCTGTTAACTGCTGCACCATGTCTGGGGAAAGGGTGACCTTCTTCATCTATTGTCAATGGGAAGTGAATAAATGTTTAGGTATTTGCACAAGAGGACTGCAAACTACAAACATTCATTAACTGGTGGCTGCGCAGAATATAGGAATAAATTGGTATGAAAGAATCACTAATGTAGAGCTTTTGGAGAGAACTAAATAATTTCAAGTGGACCAAGAGATGAAGAAAAGATGCTGGAGTTGGATTGGACACATGTTGAGAAAACCTGAGAATGCACTGGAACCCACAGAGGCATAGAAATAAAGGAAGGCCCGAAATACCACATGGAGAAGGGAGCTAGCGAGTGAAGTTAAAAAGATGTGAAGGACATGGGGAGAGCTGCATGCGACTGCGAAGGATAGAACGACTTGGCATGAGTTGGTTGAGGGCATATGCTCCATTGGGGTTTAGAAAGGCAGAAGAAGAAGATAAGTGAGCTGGATTCACAAAGGTGCTGAATCAGACACATGGCCGTACACAATATTATTTACCAGTAAAACCTAGGCAGTCCTCTAACAAAAGTTACACCAGGGTTCATACTAGCCAAATTCTAACTACACCTCTTGGCAGCCATCATAGAAACAGGTTTCCCACCGGCAACCTGGCCCAGGTAGACACAATGGATGTTTCCTTCAGAGGTGGAGTGCGTCTGCCTGAGAAGCAAGGAACCAACAGTTTGGATGAAAATAAACCAGATCTGGTAATCTGGTAATCCTAGTTTCAGCTTCATAGCAAACGGGTCACCCCATAGTTGCTCCACTCCTGTGCCAACTAAAAACACATGTAGCTCACAGTGTCACGCCATGCACTCAACTCAGAAGCTGGGCAACGAAACCAGATCTATAAAGTGGATGTGCATGCAACACTCAGGTCCTGGAACAAAACAAAAGTCCAGAAGTGGTTTCAACTAGACTTTAGAGTCAGTGATTGTGAAAAAGAAGAAGAAAAAAGGAGGAGATGTAAAAAAAGGATTCCTACAGACGTCAACAGCAGAAGTCAACAATTTATGCAGTTATGTATATCTTTCTAAAAAGATATTCAGGCATTTTTGGCAATGAAAGAGTGGACAGACTGGCTGCTACTGGTACAGTATCAGAGAGTCAACCAATGGATTACAGGCTCTTAGCCAACAACTTGTAGACTTGTTCCTGAATTATCAGATTTTACAGCTAGTTTTTTTTTTTTTTAAAGACTGAGGAAGCCTACCCTTTTATTAAGTGAACAGTAGGTTAGTGTAACAATCAGTTGTGTTATCTTCGTGGCACTCCAGACAAATCCACAGGTACTCAGTCTCCCCTTGAAACATACATTTTGGCATCCTGCAGTTGACAGTCCTATGCTGGCTGACAAGACCTTTTCTACATCTGACGTCCCTTTCGTGCCTGGCTGTGCTGATCTTTATGCAATATTAACAGGTTGCCTACACAAGCCATTGATCTACCTTTCTGTCTAACGGCATTAACAATGTCAGCAAGATCCATGGGCTGGCAATCTGCAACCATGGCAGACAGCTGAAATATCAGCTCTTTCAGGTTAGTGTTAGTGAGGGGGTATATTTTTTCTCCCCCCCCCCCCCCCCCGAGCCCCACAGGGGGAGTTTGTGTTACTATACTTTTGCTTTTATTATGGATCCATCATCATCATCATATAGCAGGTCCTTTGCAGAACGTCGCTCTCATCACAGTCTGCCTGAAAGAAACTCGGTCTCTCGCCAGTTCCACCGCCTCATGCACTTTCACACTCAAGGAGTCACTTATATCCTGTGCCCATCTTCGTGTCGGTCGGCCCCTGCCCCTCCTTCCTGGTACATGCCTTCTGCTATAATTTTTTCCAATCCGTCGTGGCGCTTGATATGACCAAAATATTTTAGCTTTCAAGAAAGGATGCTGTTTATTAGCCAATCTTCTATTATGGATCCAGTTAACATAAATAACTAAAAAAGCAAGTAAAACTGGCATGCGTCTAACCCTACCATGAAAATCTTCTTAAACTATCCACATATGCTTTACAAAATGCCTCTCCACACTTACCGATGACTGTTTTCTGAGGCGTCGATTCTTCTTGCTTGAACGTCTAGTTCCAGCAGCATTCTCCAAGCTGTCGTCAGGTTTCTTCAGCAGCACATATTGACCATCACCAATTTCATCTGCCAGTTCTGGTTCCTCTAGGAAGAAACAAACAAACAAACATAAAGAAAAACTTTTTCTTTCCCTCTCGATTTTGTGTTTTCTGCCCGTTTCTTTGATACTCTTCTTGCAGTGGAGATAAAAATTATGTCTCTCAGGATATGCATTCCGAATTAGAAGAAAACCCACAAATTAGTTCCCTTTTACTTTACGGCATGCAGGTTGGGGGTAGTCTATTCTTTATTCCTCCAAAACGAGGCCCCGGAACCCAAACAGGGAGAGACTCCAACTCACAACATTACTTTTCTGGGTTGATGCTCTAATTCCAAAGCTGTACATCATAACTCACATTCTGAACTAATTACCAATGTGCTTCTCAAATCCCAGAACCCTCACACTAACCTTCGGCTCAGATGCACAAAACTCCGTAGCATCAGCAAGAATCTTGAAAACAAAAATGGACTTCCTTTGTTATTCAGGAGATGACCCTAAATTGGCAAGACTTAAAAAAGACTACAAGAACTTCAGGTCAAAAAAGGCATCGCCAAACATGAATACTATACAGGTAGTTAAAGCAGAATAAAACAGCAGTACAGAACTGGTGTTATCAGTCGCCACACACTGACGGATATACTGAGGATGGGATCCGAGCACTTAAGGATTTGTCCAATGTGCAATAAAGGATAATCTGTCGGTTAACTAACTAACTAGTTTGTAGCATTCAGCCACACTCACCCACGCTGGAGGCAGGCGAGAGAGACTCCGGCGAGGGATCCTGGGTGGACAGCTTGTTGTAGCAGCTCAAGACCTTGATCAGAGAGTTACACCAGCTGATGTATCTGTAATGAGGAGTCTTCTCCACCTCCAGATCCACTCTGAAAGTCATGACGTATGCTTGTTATATATAATGGACAAATCCACACATGTAACTGGTCAAGTTTATTGTCTTCTTTAATCTGATTACTTTTGTGCATTTCTGCTTCTTCACACTCTTCTATAAACTTTACTTACTTTACTTAGTGGCTCCTCTTCTACCTTGGGGTGTACAGGTTTGCCAGAGAGATCGCCAGACTTCTTTCTGGCTTTGTTCCATTTCAGTCCTCTTGTCAGTTATGGACTGTCAGATGTTGTCCTCTAATCGGACCCTGGGTCGTTCTGGAGGTCTGGTTCCCTGGTTCTTAGCCTTCCATGCCATTCTTCTGTATTCCTCCTCCTGTAGTTGAGATGCTGTGTTGTGGTTTACTATCAGTCTTCTATATCTACAACTTTCAGCCCAAGACATCTACATCAGCAAGGCCTAAATTAGTCACCTTTTACAACAGGCTTCCTAGGGAGCAGTGGGTCACTTCTGTTTTCCCTAAAGTTGGGTCATGCAACCCTCAAGAGGAGGGACAATGGAGATAACCAAACATCTTACTACTCAAGGTTCATTTATTCATCACACTGATTGCTTCACTGATTGCTTCACTGATTGCTTCACTGATTGCTTCACTGAATTGGCAAATCTCAGACAGCTGCACTCAATGGGTGATGTGGTAAACATCATACCAGCCACCTTCACTTCCCAGGACACTGCCTGGGACCTATTTAAGGCTGCGTCAACCCAGGAGCTTAGGTCAATTTCAAAAGAAAGGGAAAAATCCACCTTGTTGTAGATGTAAACCCTTGACGTTCAGACTGGCAGGCAGGCAACAGGGCAAAGCTACTTCTACAATAAGGTTAATGTTACTCCCTCACACACTTACAACTGTTGCCTCCTTTCGGTGATGACTGACTTCTTGTAGTCTTCTCTCTTCTTCCAGTTGCCCTTCCTCTGTTTTTCCTTTGCTCCCTGGAATTCTTCCATCTGCTTCTTGTGGTTGGCCACCAGTTGCCGCTTGCTTTCATGCAGTTCATCAATCTCTGTAAAGGTTCAAGGTTAAAACTGGGTTGGAGTGAGTTGACAATGAAAATCTAAATCAACTGAGGAACCGACAGTCTGCATACAAATAAGCCAGATCTGTAATGTGGCTGTGCATGCAAAACTCAGGTTGGGGAACAAGACCAAAGAACAACACAGAAGTGGACGAACAACCAGAGCTATCCGCTGGAGTTTACAGATGGTGAATACAAAGAAGAAGAAGATGAAGAAGAAGAACACGAAGACGAGAAAGAGGACAAGGAGGAAGAAGAAGAAAAGAAGAAGAAGCAGTGTCTTGTTTAACCTGTTTTGAGTAGCAGTGTCTTGTTTAACCTGTTTTGAGTAGCAGTGTCTTGTTTAACCTGTTTTGAGGAGCAGTGTCTTGTTTAACCTGTTTTGAGGAGCAGTGTCTTGTTTAACCTGTTTTGAGGAGTGTCTTGTTTAACCTGTTTTGAGGAGTGTCTTGTTTAACCTGTTTTGAGGAGTGTCTTGTTTAACCTGTTTTGAGGAGCAGTGTGTTGTTTAACCTGTTTTGAGGAGTGTCTTGTTTAACCTGTTTTGAGGATGTGTGTCTTGTTTAACCTGTTTTTGAGCAGTCCATGTCTGTTTAACCTTGTTTGTTTTGAGGAGCAGTGTCTTGTTTTTGAACCCTGTTTTGAGGATGTGTGTCTTGTTTAACCTGTTTTGAGGAGCAGTGTCTTGTTTTGTTTTGAGGAGCAGTGTCTTGTTTAACCTGTTTTGAGGAACAGTGTCTTGTTTAACCTGTTTTTGTTTTGAGGAGCAGTGTCTTGTTTAACCTGTTTTGAGGATGTGTGTCTTGTTTAACCTGTTTTTAGGAGCAGTGTCTTGTTTAACCTGTTTTGAGGAACAGTGTCTTGTTTAACCTGTTTTGAGGAGCAGTGTCTTGTTTAACCTGTTTTGAGGAGCAGTGTCTTGTTTAACCTGTTTTGAGGAGCAGTGTCTTGTTTAACCTGTTTTGAGGAGCAGTGTCTTGTTTAACCTGTTTTGAGGAGCAGTGTCTTGTTTAACCTGTTTTGAGGAGCAGTGTCTTGTTTAACCTGTTTTGAGGAGCAGTGTCTTGTTTAACCTGTTTTGAGTAGCAGTGTCTTGTTTAACCTGTTTTGAGGAAAAGTGTCTTGTTTAACCTGTTTTGAGGAGGCGCGTCTTGTTTAACCTGTTTTGAGGAGCATTGTCTTGTTTAACCTGTTTTGAGTAGCAGTGTCTTGTTTAACCTGTTTTGAGGAGCAGTGTCTTGTTTAACCTGTTTTGAGGAGCAGTGTCTTGTTTAACCTGTTTTGAGGAGCAGTGTGTCTTGTTTAACCTGTTTTGAGGAGCAGTGTGTTGTTTAACCTGTTTTGAGGAGCAGTGTCTTGTTTAACCTGTTTTGAGGAGCATTGTCTTGTTGTTTTGAACCTGTTTTGAGGAGCATTGTCTTGTTTACTTGTTTAACCTGTTTTGAGTAGCCGTGTCTTGTTTAACCTGTTTTGAGTAGCCGTGTCTTGTTTAACCTGTTTTGAGGAGCATTGTCTTGTTTAACCTGTTTTGAGGAGCATTGTCTTGTTTAACCTGTTTTGAGTAGCCGTGTCTTGTTTAACCTGTTTTGAGGAGGCGCGTCTTGTTTTCCCTGTTTTGAGTAGCCGTGTCTTGTTTAACTTGTTTTGAGTAGCAGTGTCTTGTTTAACCCGTTTTGAGGAGCATTGTCTTGTTTAACCTGTTTTGAGGAGCATTGTCTTGTTTAACCCGTTTTGAGGAACAGTGTCTTGTTTAACCTGTTTTGAGGAACATTGTCTGCCGACAGATGGTTTTTGATTATGGTACGGGTTCCTCGACGGCAGGTAATAAATCAGTCTATGGTGACAATGGTTACGGTACGGGTTCCTCGACGGCAGGTAATAAATCAGTCTATGGTGACAATGGTTACGGTGGGTTCCTCGAGGCAGGTAATAAATCAGTCTATGGTGACAATGGTTACGGTACGGGTTCCTCGACGGCAGGTAATAAATCAGTCTATGGTGAAAATGGTTACGGTACGGGTTCCTCGACGGCAGGTAATAAATCAGTCTATGGTGACAATGGTTACGGTACGGGTTCCTCGACGGCAGGTAATAAATCAGTCTATGGTGACAATGGTTACGGTACGGGTTCCTCGACGGCAGGTAATAAATCAGTCTATGGTGACAATGGTTACGGTCAAGCAGCCAGTATGGCCCACTACTAAGAAGGGAAAGCAATGGGAAACTACTTTCTGATGATGCCAAGAACAGTCATGATTTTACAAACACAAAACAAATCAGATAATTCAAATGTGACAACACAATAATAGCAAGGTGAAATTAGAGCAAGACTCTACAGCAGGATAAGTCACAGCTATTTGGACCATAAAAACACACAAGATTTTTAGCTACTTAACTCTACCATACCGCTTTTCTGGTAATTTCCTAATCTACGGCTTAATCGCTGTACATAATTTTTGGTACTTTGCGTACTACGTGATAAACTGAAAATAACCAACCAATCGTGATCAAACCTCACAGTTAGTCACTGCAAATGGCTGGATTTACTTTGTGTGGTTTATTTAACGTGAACAAAATTCTGAAAGTTCACAATGAAACGAGCGGCTGATAAACCAAACTCTTCGACAGGGAAGTGAAGTGGGTCTAGGCTTTTTACAGCCCAACAGGTGATGGATACTTTGGTTGATTCAGACTCTGAGGAGTCATATTTTCATGAAGAATACGTTACCAGTTCAAGTGACACAGTCAGTGAGAACTCGAGTGATGAGGAGAATCTAAAACCTTACAGATCTAGAACTAGATCGATAGTAAGAGAAGGGGACATGTCCCACAAACAGCAACATCTAGTGCTCACTTAGTTAAACAAGACTGATCCTGCTGGGTGGATTGGCACACAAAGATGGAATACTAGCGTTAGATGAAAGGTTAACCTATTTTCTACAATGTCTCAAAGTTTCTTATTCTTCTTCTTCTTGTTCACCGGCTGTGAATTCCGGCGGTAAGTCACGGTTTTTCGTCCAAAATGGACTTTTGGCTTTTACCTTGACCTGAGTTTTGCGTGTACATCCGTTTTACTGGCTTATTTGTTTGCAGTACTCGTTCCCTGCCTCTCAGGCAGATGTACTCCGACTTCGGAGGAAGACGTCAAGCCTATTTCTAGGTTGACTGTGGCCATTGTTTTGTGTGGGTCGAGATGTTGCCTTATTTGTGTGGTGTCCTCTTTGACTTTTAACAAGTGTGGCCCCCGGCATGTCGTCCTTAAGGCAGCTCTATGTAGAGTTTTCAGCCCTCAAGGGAAGGCAGGGGCAGATCATGGGCATTCCCCGCCATCCAAGGAGGCTTCCATAAATGCAGAGCCGACACATGATGCTCTGGTTCTGGGCGGAATCGTCACGTCCTGCCCATGACTGCTTAACCTCACAACCGTGTATTGAGCTTCCCGCGCTACAAGGCTGCGCTCTCCGGAGATCAGCGGGGAGCAGCCCGCAGGTCTAGGACGTTTGTGGCCACACAAAAAGAGACATTCTTTTTCATCTTACGTTAGACACCTTTAACGTTGTTTCAGCTGTGCCCTTAGCCCGACAGAATGGGGAAGCAAAATGCGTCAGGCGTGGCTTCACCTGTTTAGTCCCAACACTCGGGCGAGTTGGACCAGTGGATACGGACATTCAGACTTTTCCTAATCGGTACGAGTTATGATCGTCGGACTTTGAGCTTGCATGTGTGCCGTGGGGTGTAACTTTGTCGGACATTGTTTTCAAGCCAGCATATGAATAGTTGCTGCCATGGTGTACCTCATCGCGGTGATGACGACACTGAGGATTGACAGAGGTTGTACGTAGGTGGGATCTTGCTGTGAGAAGTCGCCCACAAGAGATGTTACTCGTCTTGGCTGCGGGTAAATCTCTCGGTCAGGGTTGAGTCTCAGCAGCACAGTTTTCCATTCGCTCCCGAATTTTAACCAAGAGTTGTTATTTGATGGTTCATTTAGCAAGCAGTCCTTGAGTTTTGTTACTTTTCACCCATGCGTTTGGGGGCGGGCTGGTGAGAGCCAGCTCCGAGATCCCCTGCCAGCTCTGTTAATGCTCATTTGAGACATTATCCGTGGCGCATGACGGGGACGTGCAACAGGAGTCTTGCATGAGGTTCCGTAAAACCAGAACAGTGAAGTACTGGCGCCCGAGTGGGGTACGGAATATCTCCTTATACACATCACATCAGACTTAACTTCCCTTCATGCCTGTGACCGAAATCACCGCGCCACAGTTTCTTATTATTCTTCTTCTTCTTCTGCGTTCATCCGAAGATGTAATTGCGTTGTGTCCGTTTACAGCATGGCTGCGATATTTGCACCTTTCGGCCAACACATCCGACTTCTGCGGGCATTTGTTGACCGGGTTAGCCTTCCAGGTTCTTATTATTCTAACCACTTGTTTGCATGTAACTAATATTTGTGTATATCATGTTGGTTTTTCACGTTAATGTCCAGAAGCTCAGGTTATAGGGGGCAGTTAGATTCAGGGCCTCAGGTCCGGCAGGGCTAGAAGACAAGTGAAGAAATATCAAAACAGGTGACAATGTCTTTTACAAACAGCAACACTTCTTACGGAATTTAAGCACTGACAGTGTTGTTTTGGCAGAAATCATCTCCCTTCGTAGTCTCTCCTCTTCCGCATTGAGTTTACCCACAGCTTGGAAGTACATCTGAAAGACAACAGGGGCAAGGTAATGGGAGAAAAATATGAATTATCTAGCATTACAAGTAAGTGAATTTAGTATACAAGTAAATTATATACCTCTGGATCAAGATGGAAATTAATCAATTAGATGCCATCTCTACAATGAAGGTAAGATGCAATGGATCTCAGCACATAGTGTATCTTGTCTTGGTTGTAAAAACTCTCAGACTGCTGTTTGTCCATCTCTTAATGTTGTCTCCCCACTTGTATCGTTGTCTACCTTTAGCTCTCTTACCTCCCACTTTTTTTAGCAGTATGGCTTACGCATTACGAACACGCTTCGTAATGCCGGGTTCGATCCCAGCTGCGGGCTGTTTGTCTTGCATTAGGTTTGAAAGTGGCACCAAGAGCTGACTGTTCAGAAGCAATGGCAAACTACTGAACGTAAAATTTGCTTCGAAAATCCATAACAGCCACAAAATGCTGGGATTGGTTTGCAACGTCTTGTAAAGGATATGCCACTAACATAGTCTTAATGTGACCAAAATGTTTCAATTCTCTCATATGGCGGGGAAAGGGGGGGGGGGAGTTCGGGCTCAGATCACTAGTCTGTGAGGATCCCTATTTTCAACATTTTAGCTCTTGAGTAAACTCAATTGAACAGCCCTGATGTATATCATACACCTCTATATCAGGGATTATAAACAACACCACTTTCAACACACAATGGCTACCTTTGTTTACCGAGGTAAATCTAAAAAGAACTTTGGCCAACTCCTATGCTATCAGTGTCAAACATAGGTCCTTACTACAACTTATAAATGAAAAATCAAAACAATAGAGATAAGAATTAAAAAAGCAACAGATGAGATGGTTTGGCCATCTGATGAGACGGGTACCAATTTCCACAGAGGCATGCTGAAGAAATATAATGACCACAGAGCAAGGGAAAGACCATGCAAAATATGGAATGACTGCATCAAGAACAGTCCTTAAGAAATCAGGATCAACCGGCGCAGCATGTCAGAAAGAGCACACAATAGGTTCTTAAATCCCCCTCTCCCCAAACAACAATGTAAGTGGAGGGGGAGTAAGAGGAAGGGAGGGGGAGTAAGAGGAAGGGAGGAGGAGGCGGAGTCAGAGGAAGAGGAAGTAAGGAGGAGTAAGAGGAAGGGAGGAGGAAGAGGAAGGGAGGAGGAGAAAGAGGAGTGAGGAGAAGAAGGAAGAGGAATTGAGGAGTAAGAGGTATGGAGGAGTAAGAGGAAGGGAGGAGGAGGAGAAAGAGGAAGGGCGGAGGATGAGAAAGAGGGAGAAAAAGCAGAAGCAGGATGAGAAGAAGAAGAAAGGATATATGATGAATGGCTATTTGTACCAGATATCTCTATAAACTAGGATATATGATGAATGGCTATTTGTACCAGATATCTCTATAAACCAGGATATATGATGAATGGCTATTTGTACTAGATATCTCTATAAACCAGGATATATGATGAATGGCTATTTGTACCAGATATCTCTATAAACCAGGATATATGATGAATGGCTATTTGTACCAGATATCTCTATAAACCAGGATATATGATGAATGGCTATTTGTACCAGATATCTCTATAAACCAGGATATATGATGAATGGCTATTTGTACCAGATATCTCTATAAACCAGGATATATGATGAATGGCTATTTGTACCAGATATCTCTATAAACCAGGATATATGATGAATGGCTATTTGTACCAGATATCTCTATAAACCAGGATATATGATGAATGGCTATTTGTACCAGATATCTCTATAAACCAGGATATATGATGAATGGCTATTTGTACCAGATATCTCTATAAACCAGGATATATGATGAATGGCTATTTGTACCAGATATCTCTATAAACCAGGATATATGATGAATGGCTATTTGTACCAGATATCTCTATAAACCAGAATATATGATGAATGGCTATTTGTACCAGATATCTCTATAAACCAGGATATATGATGAATGGCTATTTGTACCAGATATCTCTATAAACCAGGATATATGATGAATGGCTATTTGTACCAGATATCTCTATAAACCAGGATATATGATGAATGGCTATTTGTACCAGATATCTCTATAAACCAGGATATATGATGAATGGCTATTTGTACCAGATATCTCTATAAACCAGAATATATGATGAATGGCTATTTGTACCAGATATCTCTATAAACCAGGATATATGATGAATGGCTATTTGTACCAGATATCTCTATAAACAGGATATATGATGAATGGCTATTTGTACCAGATATCTCTATAAACCAGGATATATGATGAATGGCTATTTGTACCAGATATCTCTATAAACCAGAATATATGATGAATGGCTATTTGTACCAGATATCTCTATAAACCAGGATATATGATGAATGGCTATTTGTACCAGATATCTCTATAAACCAGGATATATGATGAATGGCTATTTGTACCAGATATCTCTATAAACCAGGATATATGATGAATGGCTATTTGTACCAGATATCTCTATAACCAGGATATATGATGAATGGCTATTTGTACCAGATATCTCTATAAACCAGGATATATGATGAATGGCTATTTGTACCAGATATCTCTATAAACCAGGATATATGATGAATGGCTATTTGTACCAGATATCTCTATAAACCAGGATATATGATGAATGGCTACCAGATATCTCTATAAACCAGATATATGATGAATGGCTATTTGTACTAGATATCTCTATAAACCTGGATATATGATGAATGGCTATTTGTACCAGATATCTCTATAAACCAGGATATATGATGAATGGCTATTTGTACCAGATATCTCTATAAACCAGGATATATGATGAATGGCTATTTGTACCAGATATCTCTATAAACCATGATATATGATGGATGGCTATTTGTACCAGATATCTCTATAAACCAGGATATATGATGAATGGCTATTTGTACCAGATATCTCTATAAACCAGGATATATGATGAATGGCTATTTGTACCAGATATCTCTATAAACCAGGATATATGATGAATGGCTATTTGTACCAGATATCTCTATAAACCAGGATATATGATGAATGGCTATTTGTAACAGATATCTCTATAAACCAGGATATATGATGAATGGCTATTTGTACCAGATATCTCTATAAACCAGGATATATGATGAATGGCTATTTGTACCAGATATCTCTATAAACCAGGATATATGATGAATGGCTATTTGTACCAGATATCTCTATAAACCAGGATATATGATGAATGGCTATTTGTACCAGATATCTCTATAAACCAGGATATATGATGAATGGCTATTTGTACCAGATATCTCTATAAACCAGGATATATGATGAATGGCTATTTGTACCAGATATCTCTATAAACCAGGATATATGATGAATGGCTATTTGTACTAGATATCTCTATAAACCAGGATATATGATGAATGGCTATTTGTACCAGATATCTCTATAAACCAGGATATATGATGAATGGCTATTTGTACTAGATATCTCTATAAACCAGGATATATGATGAATGGCTATTTGTACTAGATATCTCTATAAACCAGGATAGATGATGAATGGCTATTTGTACTAGATATCTCTATAAACCAGGATAGATGATGAATGGCTATTTGTACCAGATATCTCTATAAACCAGGATATATGATGAATGGCTATTTGTACTAGATATCTCTATAAACCAGGATATATGATGAATGGCTATTTGTACTAGATATCTCTATAAACCAGGATATATTCTTCTTTCTTCTTCTTAGTGTTCACTGGCTGTAAACGTTGATGGAAAGTTCTGGTTGTCTGTCTAATTCTAGACTCAGTCTTGTTCCAGAACTTGAATTTTGTTGTGCACTTTGGCAGATATGTTCCGACTTTGGAGGAAACAATCCCTAATCAACTTTTAGACATGCTTGTTAGGGAAGCAGTGGGTTTATTCTTTCTCCCCAAAAATGGGGCCCTAAACAGGTTTATTTTTCTCAAAACATGACTAAAAACATTATTATGACTGCCTTTTTCTGATGTTTGTGGTCAGTTGTCTTTGAGCCCTCGCCTCTCTGAAAACATCTGGGTTGTCTTTTTGGCTGTTCAAGGAATTCTAAGGATTCATTCTGTAAAACCACATGATACATACAAGACTCTAATACTTCCCACCTCCATAGCCGTAAATGTTTTCTGAAAACAAAAATGGGGCCCTAAACAACCACACTGGAAAACCAAGGTATTTGCCAAAGGTCAAACTCACATCTCTTTCCTCTCTCATGCGACGCTGCATGTCACGAATGCCCGAAATGTCTTGCTTCAAAGCCATGTACTGTCTGGAAATAAGGAAATTAAATAATATAAGCAATCTTTGTGCAGGAGAGGAAAAACAGAAGAAGATAAAAAACTTCTTTGAGCTGGTACAAATGTCATCATCATCAACATGGGCCTTGCAAAACAGCATGATCATGCCTCACTAAGGACTGGGCACAACAGACTTCGTCAACATATGTTCAAATCTTTCAGTGTAGGAAACATGGAGAAGTGTCCCTGCAGCGTGACACCTGAAAATGCTGAGCATGTGCTCTAACACTGTCAACAGAGACGCAATCTGGCCTGTTCCATCCACAATGAAGACAAAACTGTATGCTACACAAGAGGATATGGTCTACATGATAGCTTTCATAAAGGCTACCGGCCTCCTGATATAAGTTTTTCTGACAGTATGACCGAAGAAGAAGAAGATGCTTCTTAACATTCTATGATTTTTCAACAGAAAAATAATAATTCATCTGCCAAAAATTGAGTCATAGTGCAAAACTGACAAGTTTTTCTTTTTTTTTTGGAGGGGGGATTGGGGGGGGGGGGGGGGGGGGGGGGGTCCCATCACTCTTTCTACAGTGAGTTTCCAGTGAATGCTAAGTAGATTTCCATTTTACATCCACCATCATTGCTTGTTCTTTATGTTCACAAGCTGTGGACTCCACATTTGGATATTACTCCTGTTCCAGAACTTGAGTTTTTGCATGCACATCCACTTTACATATCTGGCTTACATATATGCAGATTGTTGGTTCCTTGCCTCTCAGGCAGATGCACTCCAACTTTGAAGGAAACATTACATGTTTAAGATTTAAGAAATACGTTCTCATCTGGTATTTCTGCATTTCCTGTGATGTTCATTAAAAACTGAACATTAAAAAAAAATTATAATAAATTTAAAAAACTAATTTTTAAAGGAGTGAATCAACATACACAAGTGTTTTCTTGGATCTCTTCAGGCGGTCAATCTCGGAGACAATTTTCTTTTCCTCCATCAGTTTAAAGGGTTGTACTTTCAGGTTCCATTCCAATCGCCTTTTCAACAAACAAACAAACAAACAAAAAATATGACAACAGCATATAAAGCAGTATATCTAGGAAATGGTGATCATAGGGCACATATTGTCATTAGGGTATGAAGTGTCAGGACTTCACATGTTCTTGGCCAGGGCTATTTAACTAGGCAGCCCATGGGCTGAATCCAGCCCGCACAGGTCTAGAGAGAGGCCCACACATCACTACCAGTTGTATCATATTAATTATCTTTCTCTGCTGGGGCTTAGGCCTCTGGCCTGTGACAATAACCATTTTCAAAATGTTGGCCCCTGAGTAAACTTTGAGGAATAGCCCTTTTCTTGGTCATATCTTAATAAAGAGGAATGGTCAATTTCTTTCTTCACCACTTTTCCTAACATACACAACACAAATGAGAAAACTGTTCATGATTCTAAGAAAGAATATTAGAAATACCATGTGCAAACTTAATGAGTAATCTATTATACATTCTTTGCTTGATTGATTTCAACCACTACATTTCCATTAGGGAAGCAATATCTCCTCGGGTGGGAATGTAGTAGTTGAAATCAAACAGAGAATTGCAAAGGCAAGTGCTGCTTACAACCGACTTTAGAGTGTCTGCAGATCAAACATCTACAGCACTAAAACTAAACTCAGGATGTACAAAACATGCGTTAGGACAGTTCTCCTCTCACCACACAGCTCCGACCTAGCACCCTAGCAATTTCCACCATTTTGGTCCACTGAAAACCCACCTTCGCAGGAGACATTTTGCAAATGACACCAAAGTAAAATGTGAAGTGAAAATGTGGTTTAGAAAACAGAGCACACAGTTCTATGCAGCACATTTGGGAGGACTGATAAAACGATGGGACAAGTGCATCAATGTTGCTGGAAATTATGTTGAAAAATAAAGGCACAGTGTATGTGTAAAAAAAAAAAAAACAGTTAAGCTGTTAATCATCTTTTTTTTTTTTTTTAACAACCATTTGTTACTTACTTCTTGACTTCTCGTACCTACTCTATCTGTTACATGATAAGGCAGACATCTTATGACAGCCCAGGTTGACTTTTCCGTTGCCCACCAGTGGGTCATGGCCCACCAGTTGAAGAACATTGATTTAAAGCAAAGGTTGCTAATTTTTAGTTTCAAGTATGGTTTCAAGCTGGTTCCTAAACACAATCATGTGATCAATCAATGAACTAGAACGAACCAACACAACTTACTGAACAGCTGTGTTAATTTTATCCTCACTTTTGTAGATCACTGAGGATTCTAGCTGCACCAAGTGTCTCATCTGGAGAGTAGTACACACAGTGTCAAATGTACCATCATTCATAATTTATATATAATTTCTGAGACGACAAACAAATATCTCCAATACACACAAATACAGCCTTTTATGGTATAATTATCATCCGTGCAAAGATTTCTTTACTCTTTTTGAACCGTGAGTGCTAGAAAATAAAAATGGCCATGAACTCGTGGGAATTTCCCTAAATCCTTTAGGAAATCAAACATTTTTCACAAGACACTAATAAACGGTTTACAAAATGTATTTATCTACACTTTTTAATTCACCCCCCTCATCCGAAATATACAAAGGTGTACAGAGGGAGTAATCAATAGACATGAAGAGAGTGTAGCATTCAATGGAATACCTTCTCCTTGGCCTAAATCAAATATGCATCATGTGACTCATGATGTGACCCCGTGACCTCTATCACTGAGGCTTCAAAACATGGCTTTAAAAAAGCTACTGGATTTCACAAGAAAACCACCCTAAATGCTATTTGCAATTAAGATATTGGTATATGGGCCTCCTAAAGACTACTCAGGTGCACACAGAAAAATAGCATTTATAACTATACTTGTTAAGGAAAAAGTAATTGCAAACACAGCACTGCACCAGATTTTTTTCTTACGGCAACAGAGTTGGCAACTATATTTTGTGACACAGCCATTTTTACTGACAGTCTTCAAATGATGTACAATTTTCTGTGCATAAGAAAGTGACTTTAACCAAACCTTATTGGGGACTATATTTCAGGGACTGTATGTAAGACACACATTATTCTTTGTGAAATTACCTAAAAAATTAGGGGCTTTCTCAAACTCTAAACTGGTATCCAGTTTTGAATTTAAACTAAAATTTTGCTTTCTCTCATATTAAAAAGGGGACATGTTCTATTATGCCATGAAAAGTTTGCCATGTCTTTCAATACTGGATTCCAGAGGCAGAGAATATGTGTCGGTAAATGAAGTTTTTGACTTCAGGTACAGTACACAGGAGCTGCAGGTGCTTATGATGTTACACAAATAAACAGTAGCACACCTGGTAGTACATCAAGAGTCTTTTCTTTTGTTCAACAGCTGGAAACCCAGCGGAAAAGCTCTGGTTGTTACATCTACTTCTAGACTTTTGTCTTGTTCCAAAAATTAAATTTTGCGAGCATATCTGTTTGACTGATCTCACATATCTCTATGCTGACGGTTGATTCCTTGCCACTCAAGCAGATGCACTCCCCTATTAGTAGACTTTTTATGACATGATTGTTATGAAGGCAGCAGTTCTATTCTTCCGCCCCCCCCCCCCCCCCCCAAAAAAAAAAAACTGAAAACTTGGAACCCACACAAAAAACACCAACAGTAAAATGACTTTCCCTGTGTTGCCAGAATCTGTTTAATGGCCAACATCATCATTTTATTATTCCCCAAAATTGCTGACAAATTCAGGTGTGTTTTATGGTAGATAAAAATTAGGTAATTATCATTTCTATGCAAGATTATAACTTCATTCAAACCTTATCTGGAATAATTTTCTTGAGTTTCTCCAGCTCTTGGTCTATTTTCTTTCTCTTGGCAATTGCTGCACTTCTCTCAGCCTTTATTCTCTGTAGCTCACTGGTCATACTCAAGCTGCCCAGTGATTTCTTATGCACTGTTAAGGAATACCTCATCGATTAACTACACCTACCGTGCCAGAAATAAGATGCTGTAGAATGGTGGCTAGATGCTCGTGTGTTAATCTAAAGGTTAGGAGTTCAAACTCCAGCATTTTCAAAAATGACCTTGGCTTCCAGATCAATCTAGCCTTAAATTGGGTACCAGGTAAAATCCTGGGAAGTAAAGGTAGCTGGTGTGATGCCGACATCAGCCACCCAGTGCCGATTGTTCTATAAAATATATGTCCAACACTATATGCCTTATACACCTGATGGCATGAAAAAGGGTTCTTTACGCAACGGTACGCAGTACTGGCACCTTTTTTGAGGCATACATTTTTAAGCACTACTGTATTAGAATCTTTACTGTGAGTACCGGCACCTATTTTATACACGTTTTTGGTGAGAAAAGGCAACGTTTTTTATTTAAAAAAAGCCCTGCGTATAGGCACTTAAAGGTCTTAATACACTTTGTGAGGCCTGACCTAGCAGCACAGACAGATACAGAAATGTTGCCTAAAGATTGTTCAGCCCAGGCTTCTATGTCTTTTGGTGACTAATTCTTTAAACTATAATTAAATTATTTTTTTTAAATACAAGGATATACCTCTTTATTAAGTCTTCTGCCAATTTAATAAATTCACAAGTGCCAGGCCAGCTTTCTCAATGGTCCAGTCAATTTTTCAAGCACTGATCTTGGCCAATGCACTGTCATTAACTTGTTCTTCTTCTTCTTCTTCTTCTTTGCATTCGGTTTTGTTTGCTCAGGTCAGACAGACCATCAGGTGGGTTGCCTCTAAGAACTCACATGCCAGCTGCAGGACCTTGATGGTTCACCATAGCTTGCTCTGCACACTTTGCTCTTAAGGCCAGGTGTCTTTTCGAAGTTGTATGCAGAGTGAGCAGGTTTGCAGAATGCATTCAGGCTCTTTCTCAAATGTTTCGTAAGAGATACCAATGAAAAAATACCCAATATCAAATTTTTTAATTGTTTTTCTTAAATAAAAAAGTTACTGACCCTTTTCCATGCCTTTACACATAATGGGCATATAGGGCTAGACCTAAATTTTATAGATCAATCGACACTTGATGAGTGATGTGGTCAGCATCACGCCGGATTACTTTTAATATAATGCAGTTATATAACAGTAGTAAAAACCATATTTCTTGAGTTTGTTGTGATTAAGACCAAAAGGAAGGCAGAACTGTTGTGATTAAGACCAAAAGGAAGGCAGAACATTAACTTAAGGATAGGATTCAGCAGACAGAGAGATTCACATATCATGCATTGTTAGGGAATCAAAGAGTTAAGTGTTTCCTTCTTCGAAGTCTGCCCAGTGAATACAGCAGACAGAGTAATTCATACATCATGCATTGTTTGGGAATCAAAGAGTTAAGTCCGTTTGCTTCTTTGAAGTCTGCCCAGTGAATACAGCAGACAGAGTAATTCATACATCATGCATTGTTTGGGAATCAAAGAGTTAAGTCCGTTTGCTTCTTTGAAGTCTGCCCAGTGAATACAGCAGACAGAGTAATTCATACATCATGCATTGTTTGGGAATCAAAGAGTTAAGTCCGTTTGCTTCTTTGAAGTCTGCCCAGTGAATACAGAAGACAGAGTAATTCATACATCATGCATTGTTTGGGAATCAAAGAGTTAAGTCTATTTGCTTCTTTGAAGTCTGCCCAGTGAATACAGCAGACAGAGTAATTCACATATCATGCATTGTTAGGGAATCAAAGATTTAAGTGTTTCCTTCTTCGAAGTCTGCCCAGTGAATACAGTAGACAGAGTAATTCACACATCATGCATTGTTTGGGAATCAAAGAGTTAAGTCCGTTTGCTTCTTTGAAGTCTGCCCAGTGAATACAGCAGACAGAGTAATTCATACATCATGCATTGTTTGGGAATCAAAGAGTTAAGTCCGTTTGCTTCTTTGAAGTCTGCCCAGTGAATACAGCAGACAGAGTAATTCACACATCATGCATTGTTAGGGAATCAAAGAGTTAAGTCTGTTTGCTTTTTTGAAGTCTGCCCAGTGAATACAGCAGACAGAGTAATTCACACATCATGCATTGTTAGGGAATCAAAGAGTTAAGTCTGTTTGCTTCTTTGAAGTCTGCCCAGTGAATACAGCAGACAGAGTAATTCACACATCATGCATTGTTAGGGAATCAAAGAGTTAAGTCTGTTTGATTTTTTGAAGTCTGCCCAGTGAACACAGCAGACAGAGTAATTCGCATATCATGCATTGTTTGGGAATCAAAGAGTTAAGTCTGTTTGCTTCTTTGAAGTCTGCCCAGCGAATACAGCAGACAGAGTAATTCACACATCATGCATTGTTAGGGAATCAAAGAGTTAAGTCTGTTTGATTTTTTGAAGTCTGCCCAGTGAATACAGCAGACAGAGTAATTCACACATCATGCATTGTTAGGGAATCAAAGAGTTAAGTCTGCTTGCTTCTTTGAAGTCTGCCCAGTGAACACAGCAGACAAAATAATTCACACATCATGCATTGTTAGGGAATCAAAGAGTTAAGTCCGTTTGCTTCTTTGAAGTCTGCCCAGTGAATACAGCAGACAGAGTAATTCATACATCATGCATTGTTTGGTAATCAAAGAGTTAAGCCTGTTTGCTTCTTTGAAGTCTGCCCAGTGAACACAGCAGACAGAGTAATTCACACATCATGCATTGTTAGGGAATCAAAGAGTTAAGTCTGTTTGCTTCTTTGAAGTCTGCCCAGTGAATACAGCAGAAAAGATCCAGCTGATACATCTGCCAAGTTGTTCCAAGGTGACAGGGTCATCTTCATTGCACTGTGTTTAATCCCAACTGGTTAGGTCTCTCTCTGCAGAATTTCTGGCAACCCGCCAGTGTCACACAATGCACAAACTCTACAACTCCTTAGACAACCCCCTTGAATCTATTTTTTTTTTAAATTGCACTGATAAATTTAACAAAAGGATACCAGTCTTTCCATTTCTGCTTCTTTCTCTTTAATTTGGCTAAGTATCTTTTCCATGTCTTCTTCGTATTTTTTCTTGTTCGGAGGTCGCACTTTGTAGATCTCTGGAAAAATAAATATTACATAATGATATTCTCATCCAGACAAACAAGTGAACCATGAAATTCTTCTTCTACTTCTGTAATCACACTTACAGATGGCACATTGTATTGTGGTTTACAGCTAGGCTGCAAAATCTGCATGTTTTAGCCCAACACATCTGATTTAAACTTAAACAACATGCTTTTCGGGGTCGGAGGGGGTAGTAAGGCTATTTTTAATTTTTTTGCTAACAGAGGACTTGAAAAAAAAAAAACTAAGAAATAAATATAATAATTACATCACTGTTATCAGAAGAAGGATCGTGGCAGAGAACAAAGGGGTGTGTGACAAAGAGGTGTATGACAAAGGGGTGTATGACAAAGGGGTGTGTGACAAAGACGTGTGTGACAAAGGGGTGTGTGACAAAGGGGTGTATGACAAAGGGGTGTGTGACAAAGGGGTGTGTGACAAAGAGGTGTGTGACAAAGGGGTGTATGACAAAGGGGTGTGTGACAAAGGGGTGTGTGACAAAGGGCTGTGTGACAAAGGGGTGTATGACAAAGGGGTGTATGACAAAGGGGTGTGTGACAAAGGGCTGTGTGACAAAGGGGTGTGTGACAAAGGGGTGTGTGACAAAGGGGTGTATGACAAAGGGGTGTGTGACAAAGGGGTGTGTGACAAAGGGGTGTGTGACAAAGAGGTGTGTGAACAAAGGGGTGTGTGACAAAGGGGTGTGTGACAAAGGGGTGTTTGACAAAGGGGTGTGTGACAAAGAGGTGTGTGACAAAGGGGTGTGTGACAAAGAGGTGTATGACAAAGGGGTGTGTGACAAAGGGGTGTATGACAAAGGGGTGTGTGACAAAGGGGTGTGTGACAGAGGGGTGTGTGACAAAGGGGTGTGTGACAAAGGGGTGTGTGACAAAGAGGAGTGTGAACAAAGGGATGTGTAAATCTGAGCAGCCTTTAAACTATAAGTATTTGTTCTTCTGTAGGAGACAGAGCACAAATGGACACATTCTGAGGGCGGCAAGATTGGTGCTGGGTAACATTTCCTGTTTTTATTACTGACCCAGCTGAATTTTTCTTGTGACTTGTTATCCTTTCAACATTTTAGTGCATTGGTCCCACCCATTCATGTTCTTGTCTGCTTAGGCAGAAGCCATCTCAGTGTCTCCATGCTCAACATACCCGGTACGAGCTGACTGGCCTGTCTTCTTTCCTTGCCGCACAATCAGTTTCTGAATGCTTAGTCTTAGTCAAGATTTGAACTTTACTGCCATTGGGTTATCCCATACTTGCTCTGTTCCTGTGCCAGTGAAAATCAAATGAAATGTCCTTCACTGTCCCATTTGAAAAAATGGTGAACAAAGAATTAGTCCTAGCACAATCCAGAAATATGTTCATGCAGTAAATGCATCTGGCAGTTGCTAGAAGTGCCAAAGCCAACAGTTGCCACCAGTAATGCAGTTTGTTGTAGATGGCGGTAGTCAGGCAAGGTAAGTTGGTTATACACATGTGGCATTATTACTAGGGCTGTACCAAATAGTAATTTTCACTACGAAATAGCATACGAATACGAATAGCGAGACCAACTATTTAGCCGAATACGAATAGTGTATCATCATCATGTGGTGCCTTGCCGAAGGGCGTGAGCGATTATGCATCGCCTGCAGCATGTATTAGTTCGTGTGCTGACACACTTCCTTGCCTCTTTCAAAACCTCTTGGTTGCTTTTTTTTAACTGTCCAAGGTATTTTAAGCATTGTTCTGTAAAACCATATCTGAGGCCTCAAGAAGTTGTTTGGCCTGCCTACCGACTGTCCAGGATTCACAGCCATATGTTAAAACTGGATGTATGTAGCAAGCAAGTATTCGTTTTTCTAACCTTCAATGACAAAGATATATTGCATAAGATGTTCTTTATTTTATAAAATGCAGTTTTTACCTGTCCTATTCTGTTTCTTATTTCACTAATCCATCTTCCATCTGATGTTATCCATGTGCCCAGATACTTAAATTTCTGTACTTGTCCCAAAATAAGACCATTGACTTTTATTACACATTTAGGAATAATTCTTTTCTTTGATACTACCATTACTTCTGTCTTCCCACTATTCAAACTGAGGCCCATTCTTCCACTTTCTAAAATTGTATAGTGTATAAAATAGATCTAAAAAAAAATTCATAATGTCAAATGTACGCTGAAATGTTACTTTGCAAAATGTAGTACAGAATAGTCAACATTTAAAAACATTTTATGTTTTGCATCCTTCAGTCAGCCAGTCTGTGGTAACTAATACCTAGGAATGAAAGTATTCTTAGTTTTATAACAAGTAACTAAACTTGTAAATTGTCACTGACAGCTTAGATAATGTATGAAAGCGGCATTAGCTTTAAAAAAAACCCAATCAATCCATGTTGTCAGCATTAGGGCAGCTTATCGTCTCACTGAAGTTATTTCCAGCTGTACTAAACAGATGTTCACTTGGTACGCTCGTAGGTGGTGCACAAAGTTAATGCTTGACAGTATGAACCAAGGTGGGAAATCTTGACATGTTTATTTTCCACCAGTCCAGTGGGTCAGTGTCTCTTGGGATACATGGCTCTGACAGGTAGTTATTTACTTATGTTTCAAAAGTAACTAAAATGTCGCTATTCTGTACCTTCTGTACCTATTGTGTTAATGAGAGAGTTATTTCACTCCATCGCAGTGCATGCAGAAACAGGTGTAAGGTAACTACTATTCGTATTCAGCCCGACCCCAACTATTCAGCCAAATACCAAATAGTTATTAGGTCAACTATTCAGCCCCAAAGCAAATACGAAGCAAATATTTGGTATAGCCCTAATTATTACATAAGGTATTTCTCCAACCCATAGTGAACCGGCTACCGGCTACATTGAATACAACATCTCAACTGCTGCACAAATGAAAGGCTCTCCACATACACACATAAACACAAAACCTGAATGCCTGTCCTCATTTAATACCCATTTCCAATAGACAGTTCAGCATCTCTGGAACGCAAGGCACTAAGTATTATTGCCCTGTTCATACTTTTTCCTCCACTAATGACTGTAGAAATGGTAGGTCTGTCAGCTTTCATTTCCTTTCACCCCGGCGTGTCCTGATGTCTAAAGCCAAGATAGTTTCTTGCGGCTGGACTTTTGGATGCTGTCAACGCCTTTTAGCATGAGTTTGCCAATTTCAATCCACATAAGCATACTCACTGTCTGTTACTATCAATGTGTGAGTTGCTGCCAGTCCCACCAGCCATGCAAGTGTCCCTGTGAAGCTGCTATCTCCATTATACTAGATGTAGTTGAACTAAATGCTGGACATTCTCATCTCCCCATTCATCTGCACTTTGTAAGCCCATTGCCTTATTTTTATGCAGAATTGATAGGAAAAAACAGGTGTTCTCCAGAAAAAGGGACTTGACTCAATATACTAGGGCCAAATTTGCCCTCATACGTGTGTGTGTGCGTGCATGTGTGTGTGTGTTATGGGCTTTGTGCAAATGATCCCCTATTGTGCAAATATCCAGAGATGCTATAGTTCTCTACACCCCCCCCCCCCCCATCCCCAGCTTCGCCACTTATTGTCCAACAAACGTATTATCAGTGCAGAAGTAAAGACAATCTTTGCACAACTGTCTGCAAATATATTCATTTTTCATAAAGTTGCAGACTTGTTTGTTAAAAATATCTTCGAAATATACAATATGGTTGTCTAACAAATGAAGTAATCTAGGCCTGTATTCGTATACTTGTGTTTGTGCTGACTCATATCGGTTATTCCAATGCACATCGATGTGTCATACCAACTCTGAATAAGCAACTACAGTGGTCAGTTCATGGCACCACTCAAAAATCAATTCTGTAACTATTTACCTGGCAAAGCGAAGATATAATAGCTATCCTGGTGCATACTGACATGCCATAAACGTAATAAAAGTGCAACTAAACGTGAGTCGCTCACAACTCAAGCCTTACATCATAGACAACAACCTACGTTATGTAAGGCTTCTGTCATGTTTACTTCTACGTCGCACTTAGCTTACCTGCTGGATCCTCCTCGGTTTTGCCTTGTATCGAACCAGACTGCTCCTCTTCATAAGTCTCACACATGCTGTTCTGCAGATCCACTATAGAGTGCAGCTCAAGTAAATAAACGTGTCCGGGAGTGCAAAATCTGCAAAAAAATTTCTATAAATGGCCTGTTGGTGGATTGTGTATCTCCGAGATCTGTTTGTGTCATAGCAGACGTAGCCATTTTAGACAACAATGTCACGTGATACGTGCAATGCGTCATCGTTTCCAGTTGAGGAATCCAGGGGGAAACCCCAGAGGCCATCAACGTGGTACAAATTATATTTGCGATTTGTGTACGTCTATTATGTAAATATTTTTGGTGTTGATGCAGGAGAAAGCCTAGGTGTGATTGTTGAGAGTAATGAGCACAGAGAAGAAAGAAATTCACGTCACTAGATTACTAATTTTCTGTCTTGCCGACAGGCGTGAACAATCAGGCGTATCAACATCTTGCGGATCTTCAAATGCATGTGAAAACTGCGCAGTGCTTGTGCTGTTGTGATTAGGGCTGTACTGAATACTCGCTTCGTATTTGCTTCGGGGTCGAATAGTGGACCTAATAACTATTCGGTTATCGGCTGAATACTTGCTGTTGGACCGAATACGAATAGTGGTTACCTTACACCCGTTTCTGCATACACTGAGAGGGACTAAACTAACTCTCTAATTAACACAATTTTTTTCTTTTTCTGCGTTCGACATCACTCATGCTAAACATTGAGTCCCGTCTGGGTCAAAAATAGGATTGTGCGTTTAAGGTCGCCACCGGTCCCCCATAGCTTCTCTCGCAATGTGGATCCCCTGGGCCAGATCCACAGTCTTTGCTGGGAGAGGTAAGGGCAGTACTGGAGTATGTGCTCAGGGGTCTGTCTTTCTGCTCCACAATCACAGGCAGCAGATTCTTTTATGTCTATCTTGTACAGGTGTGCTCGAAGTCCACAGTGTCCAGTCCGAAGTCTAAAAATTGATGTTTGTTCTTTCCTGTTGAGTTTGATTATGCTGTCACTCTCTGGTCTGTAATCTCCATTCTGCCTTCTCCACTCCCGCTTGAAAGACTGCTTTAGCGCTGTTTTGGTTCCTTGTAGTTGTGTGGTGGATGAGGTTGTGGAAGATTACTCCCAGCTTTTGCCAACTCATCTGCTCTCTCATTTCCTTGAACACCACAGTGGGCTGGTATCCACTGCAAGACCAGTTCTACTTCCTTGGAGATTGAGCCAATGTTGGTCCTTAGATATGCAATTAGTTTGTCTTGTTTTTTGCTTGATAGTGCTTGGAGAACATACAACAAATCGCTAAGAATAACAATTTTGTGCCCTCTGTGTTCTTAAGTAATGAAATGTGGGACTGCAGAAAAGAGGGCAGTTGCCTCAGCTCTGAAGTTAGTGCAAATGTCACCTGCTGGTAGAGAGAGAGAGAGAGAGAGAGAGAGAGAGAGAGAGAGAGAGAGAGAGAGAGAGAGAGAGAGAGAGAGAGAGAGAGAGAGAGAGAGTTTCTGCTCTACTGCTAGGGGGTTTAATGTATATTTCACAAACCCCCTTTCTGACTGCTTCTGTAGCAGAGCCGTCGGTGAAAACCTGAGTCCAAGTGGTGTTTGGATACTTCTCATCAAGCATAACAAGAGCCAGGGTTCTCTGTTGTGGCTCCGTCTGGGCATCTTTTGAAGTGATCCCTGGTACCTTTTGGACTACATTTGCCTTCTCTGGCTTGCTTGTCCATGGTTCTGGCCTAAGTTTTTCGCACAGTGCTACATCTCTTTCAAGCAGATCTTGGTGCTGTCTGTACAGTTCTCTAGCAAGGTGGTTGGAGCTCTGACGCTTCAGTCTGTTTTTTTTTTTCCTCTCTTGAAATTTAAAATGCAGTGGGTGACTTTGAAGTCTTTTTAATTTTTCATACTGTAAAAGAGTTTTGTATTGTCTTCTAAGTTCGAGTGGTTGAGTATCTGCTATCCTCTCTATCTCTCTGATGTGGGTGGTTTATTATTATTAACACAATAGTTGCTGTTGCCAAAGTCTGTCGTAGCGGGGACAACTGCGACCTGGTTGCGTGGTGCAGCATCCAGTTTTAACATATGGCTATGAGTCCTGGACAATCGGTAGGCAGGCCAAACAATTTCTTGAGGCCTCAGAGATGCGATTTTACAGAAGAATGCTTAAAATACCTTGTACAGCCCCTCTCCAAAAAAAGCAACCAAGAGGTTTTGAAAGAGGCGGGAGCCCGAAGACAACTAATTACAGACATGTGGTGACCACTGGAAAGATCTGTGGAAGGAGGGATGGAGGAAGACAGCGAGAGAGGATTCTTGACAGTCTTGTTGCATGCCATGGAGGTGTGTCACACGAACTAATACATGCTGCAGGATATTGCAGATTGTGCCAGTCGGCAGGTCACCTGATGATGATGATACACTATTCGTATTCGTATTCGGCCGAATAGTAGGTCCCGCTATTCGTATTCTGCCGAATAGTGAAAATCCTGATACGGTACAGCCCTCATTTTTTTAATCCGTCATGAAACCAAAGTTGATTATCTGAGTCCGGAGGTGACATACAAGCTTAATACAGGTCCAGAAGGATCTAGGACAATAAAGGCAGGGAACAGTGTCTGTAGGTAAAGGACCTGTTGTATGGTCTTTGGGGACTTTAACACCCTCCGGACTGAATTCCCAACACAGTTTCATTTAAACTCCTAAGGGATTGTACTACCCTCACAGTATTATCTCTAGCCCCCTAGTTATAGCCCCTGGTACTCCACATGGGGTATTTATTCCCCCAGTCCACGCATGTATGTTTAATCCAGTTTCGTCCTTTTGAGGATGAAATATTTTGTTATTTGAAGCCCCACCCTGGCTTTTTCCAGGGGCCGCAATATAGGCAGCCCATAAATATAGCAAATTGTCTGAACGCGGTTTCTGGGACCTCTGCACGGCGATCCTCATCCACATGATGGCACTTTGTGTCATCGGGTGTTCATCGCTTGTGTGATGTCCTGGTGGGGTAGAAAGTCAGTCAGCCAGCGTGTAGGCATTTTGCTGAGAATCCATTGACCCGGTTTCTCCGAGATACCAACTAAGTGATTTTGTGTATTTGTGTAGTGTTGTTTGATTTGTATGTGCTTATGAAGGCTTCATGGACGCAACGTTCACGTTTTGTTTGTATTTGTTATATTGTAAAGCTTGCTAATGTACTTTTCGTTCGGTTTTTATATCTTCTGTTGTATGGTCTAGCACGCCTGCGCGCTGTTCTGTTTCTCATGAAACTTCATATGTCGCTGCCCCTCTTGGAGTAGACGGTCTTGTGCAGCATACCCAGTTTCATGGTCTATATTAAAAGCTTTAAGTGATGCCTCTAGCGTGTTCATGAAGCTTTTTTTTCCCTGGCCACAAAGGAACTGTCTAACGTCCTGTACCTCAACATACAAGATTATTTTTGGGAGCAGGTGGTCTGGCAAGCGGACGGCACGACGTGTCATGTCCAGCGAATCTGTGACTGCATCAAGATGGTATCTATTCCGGGAAATCTAGCTCTATGTATTCACTACGACAGTATTCGGGACTTGACTTGACTTTCTACCCCACTAGGACATCACACAAGCGATAAACACCCGATGACACAAAGTGCCACCATGTGGATCGCCGTGGAGAGGTCCCAGAAACCGCGTTCAGACAATTTGCCATATTTATGGCCTGCCTATATTGCGGCCCCTGGCAAAACCAGGGTGGGGCTTCAAATGACAAAAAATTTCGTCCTAAAAAGGACGAAACTAGATAACTTAAAGCTAACAGTTTTCGGGACCTTGTCCTGCCACGTATCTTTCTTAGACAGATAGTGTGGAAATGGTTGAGCTTTTTTGCATGACGTCTGTATACAGTCCATGTTGTGTATAAACTGGACCTCTATATTCAACAATACAAGGTCGTCGCCACAGCAACAGTGTGCGAATTAGAATACCTAAAGAGCAGATACTAAGCTTACATCGGTATGTTATCAACTGGGTGCCGTCTCCGCATTAAAGGTTTGCTATAATGGATCTCCGACACGCTTTGACTGTTGTCTTTGCAGCTCACTCTCTGATACTGCTGTTTGCCCATCTCTTGATATTTTTTTTCTTCCACTTGTATCGCTGTATACCTCTTGCTCTCTTGCCTTCGGCATTTTCTTCCAATATGGTTTTTAAGAGAGTTTTGTGTCTTTTAATGTGGCTACAATATTGTAATAGTCCCTTTCTTTTTTTTTTTTTTTTTTTTTTTTTTTTTTTTTTTTTTGTTGTTTTTTTTTTTTTGTTTTGGTTATTTTTTTCACTAATTTACTTTTCATTCTAAGTTTTTTCCCAGAACCTCTCTATTTGTTTTTGTTTTCACGAAAAGCGACATTTTCTTCTGTATATCCACATCTCCAGAGACTCAAATCGACTTTTGTATGCCTGTTCATTGTCCAAGCTTCTGCACCGTGCAGCTGCAGGGGTGAGTCTACATACAGTAATATTTGAAGATTCAAGTGGAGTGCGTGACTAGTGGAGTCTCGGAGAAGGTGCACCTCATTTCGGTGACTTCTACTTCTGCCTTCTATACCCCAATGGAGCATAGACTTTCAACCAACTCACGCCTAGTCATTCTAATCTTCGCTATTTCATTAATCTCTCCCTATTTCCTCCCCATCTTTTTAACTTGCTCTCTAGCTCCCTTCTCCCTCTCTCTTTCTCTCTCTCTCTCTCTCTCTCTCTCTCTCTCTCTCTCTCTCTATCTATCTATCTATCTATCTATCTGTCTATCTATCTGTCTGTCTGTCTATCTATCTATCTGTCTGTCTATCTATCTGTCTATCTGTCTATCTGTCTATCTGTCTATCTATCTATCTGTCTATCTATCTATCTATCTATCTATCTATCTATCTATCTATCTATCTATCTATCTATCTATCTATCTATCTATCTATCTATCTATCTATCTATCTATCTATCTATCTATCTATCTATCTATCTATCTATCTATCTATCTATCTATCTATCTATCTATCTATCTATCTATCTATCTATCTATC